CTTGAAGGTGTACATACTATTCTAAACCTTCTCCCAATGCGAAGTGAAAGATCAAATCAGGCCACTCAACTGCTAGTTTGTAGCCTCGGCAAGGGACGATTTACAAAGCCCCCAAACACAAGTTACTATTCAAGCCACACTTAATTATCCACTCAGAAATAAATCAAAAAATACTGTCACTGCTGCGCCCTTGGAGTGGAAGACATACTATCTCCTGTTACTCATTCCGTCTTCCATCCATCACTCAGACAGGGGAATTTTCCTCAGCGCCCTCTGAACTGTGTCTTCCATGAGGACATTCTCCTACCTAGATGAGGAATGTCATGCATTTTCCACACTCAGCCTCTAAGAACAGAGCACACAGAAGCAGCCTCAGGAGGGCCCTGCCTGAATCCCAGACCTGGCAGGAAGCCAGGTCCAAACTACAGCGTGTGTTCACTGAGTCTCCAGCCCACAGTGCTCACAGAGGGGCCTTTATCTCTGTGTGGGACACTTCCTCACCCCTGCGGTATAAACCAACAAAATTAAGAAAATTCTAGTCTTTGACAGGAAAGTAGCATGACCACATATTAAACAGAAAAGCTTAGGTGTTTTGTTTTCCAAGAGAATTTGGATAGAAGAAGGTAAAATTAGATGTCTTATCTGGGCTGGAAGATATCCTGAAACCAAGATGATTAAAGAAACCTGTCTCTACTTTTTACGAAATAACTTTTCAAATCGCTTTTATTTGGCTTCTAATATATTAGTATACAAAGCTAAGATGAAAAATAAGGTAGAGATCTTTGTATTAAGAATGAGATAAAACATCATGGCAATTTTAAAAGATCAAAAATGAAGCCATCATATAAAACTGCCATCTACAGAAGGAACAAGCAGGAAAGATCTTCACTATAGTGGTGGGGTCACAGGCGACCAGGCAGACTCCACATACCGTCTTGGCTAGTCTGCTAACAAGAGACACTTCAGGAATGTATATTTAGCTTGCTCGGCCTCTTACAACTTCTTAGAGTTTGCTTGTGATGGGTTTAAGACAAACAACCTGGAACTATGGTTCCCATATGTACACACACACACACACACACACACACACACACACACACCATCACTATTATGATCTGGATCTGAGGTGTCGTTATAGGCTCATCTTTTAAACGCTTGTCCCCCAGTGGGTAGTGAAATTTCAGGCAGTTGAGGAGACATGGAGTTTGGCTGTTAGGAATAGGCCAGTAGAGGTGAATTCCTGATGGTTAAAGCCGCCTGGTTCCAGCTTGCACTCTATCCTGCCTACTGTCCCACAAATAGTTCCATCTCACACCCTACCAGCTTGTGTGGAGACACTCAAGCCACCATGCTTTCCCCGCCATGATGAACTCAGAAACAATGATCCAAAATAAGCCTTTTCGCTATTAAGTAATTTCCGTCAGATATTTTGTCATCTCAACAAGAAAAGTAACTAATACAGGAAGTCCTTGCCAGTAAAAGTGGTGGTGTTGTTATGATAAGCCTAAATGCGTGCTCTGTAGACCTTTGGGAATTGCTTGTGAGAAGAACGTGGAAGACTTGGGAGATCCAGGTTGGACCAGCCATGGAAGGTTGATAGCAAAGTTTAATGGTAAATTCTGGTGGGGGTCTGGGTGATGAGACCGCCAATATGAATGTGTAGAACTGTGCTCGGGAGGTTTCAGATGCAAGACCCTACTGTAAGTTGTTCTAGAGGCTGTTCACATGGCAACCTGATACAGAATCCAGCTATATTGTACCTATGTCCTAAAGTTCAAGTGAGACTCAAAACAACAGATTAATTTGTGGTAGAGTAAGTTTCAAGACAGCAGAGCATTTAGTCTGGACACAACTAATGCTGGCTGCTTTTAAACATGTTTATAATGAGAATCAAGAGGAAAAAGATGAGGAAAGGGATTTGAAAACAGGAGTTATCAAGCCTACAGAAAAGTAATTAGAATTGTTTTAAAAAAAGATTAATGATATCATTGAGAGGAGCAGTTCCCAACAAAAAATCTCAAGAGTAGGGGCTGGAGGGATGGCTCAGTGGTTAAGAGCACTGGCTGCTCTTCTAGAGGTCCTGAGTTCAACTCCCAGCACCCACACAGTGGCTCACAACCATCTATAGTGGGATCTGTTGCCTCTTCTGTCAGATGACCTCTTCTGGTAGAAAGTTATACCTGAGATAGAGTACTCATACATATAGATAGTCCTTAAAGAAAAGGAGGAGGAGGAGGAGCAGCCGCCACTGCCTCAGGGTATAAAAGTGCAAATTCACAACCAGGCAATGGTGGTGCAGGCGGATCTCTCTGAGTTCAAGGCCAGCCTGGTCTACAGAGTTCCAGAACTACACAAAGAAACCCTGTCTCAAAAAACCAAAACAAGGGGGCTGGAGAGATGGCTCAGAGGTTAAGAGCACTGACTGCTCTTCCAGAGGTCCTGAGTTCAATTCCCAGCAACCACATGGTGGCTCACAACCACCTGTAACAAGATCTGGTGCCCTCTTCTGGCCTGCAGTCACATATGCTGTATACATAATAAATAAATTAATTAATTAAAAAACAAAACAAAACAAAATAATGCAAATTCATTTGAAAGGAGAGTGCCTGGAGAGAGAGAGAGAGAGAGAGAGAGAGAGAGAGAGAGAGAGAGAGAGAGAGAGGAATGATTTGAAGTTCAGCCACCAACACTCTGCAGTTTGATAAATAGCAACTCAGCTGTTTCTTGAGCTGATAGCAGAATTGTGAAACATCCATGTGGTTGCTGTTGGAAAGTGTTTATTCTGCCCCAGGAAAGCGCCCTGGAGTTGCTAAAAGGAGGCTGTTCCTTCTCAAAGAGATGTTAGGGACTCATGGGAATAACCCTACCTCAGGAGCATTGATTCAGGTAGAGAAAGCATGCTTGGATATAAGGATCTGAAAAAAATGATTCTGTTCAACCTTTCAACAGAGAAAACATTCTACCAGATGAAGCATCTCCTGTCAACCTTGTGCAGAGAGGACCCGTCCAGCCCTGCTGCTCTTACAGAGGACCTGGATCCAGTTCCCAGCACCCATGTGGTGGCTCACAACCATCTGTAACCCCAGTTACAAATGTGATACTCTCTTCTGGCCTCTGTGGGTATGGACACACATGGTGTACAGACATACACGCAAAGCACTCATACTCATAAAAGTAAATTAAAAAATAAAAAGAACAATCTTGTACCAGCCTAGTTCAATCTTCCTTCTGCCCACTGTACCCACTCTTCCACCCCAACCCTCTGACACCCCAACCCTCTTCCACATCTATGTAGACATCAGTTACTTGTCACAGCATCACAGTGCTTGTGACTAAGAAATCATTGCTCAATAAAGCAAATGTAGTAACGGTGACTTTATCATAATATACTGCAATAACTGCCCAATTTTATTATTGTATTTGTTAATCTCCTGCAGTGCCTAGTTTATAAATTAAGAGCTGTCACTTGGATGGATGGATGGATGGATGGATGGATGGATGGATGGATGGATGGATGGATTGATGGGTGGGTGGATGGTTGGTTAGATGGATAGGTGGGTGGATGGATGGATGGATTGATGGGTGGGTGGATGGTTGGTTAGATGGATAGGTGGGTGGATGGATGGGTGGGTAGGTGGGTGGATGGACACTTGGGTAGATAGATGGATGGATGATGGATGATGGATGGGGAAAACTGTACACACATGTACCACCCATGGTTTCAGTCTTCTGACAGATCTCAGATCACATCCCCTGTGGATGAGGGGAGATTGAACTCAAATCCAGGTTCTTTCCATCTTATGGCCCCTTCTGTTCCCACTTCATCACCAGAAAGACTGGATTATTAAAATACTACTCTCATTTGAAATCTGAATACGTTTAGAACGTTAAGCAGGTCAAGAAGCAGCCACTGTCCATGTGTAGAACTTGACCCACTATGGCACAGGCTCATGAGAGAAGGGATACAGGACTCAGTTTCCCCAGCCTCAACAACAAGATGAAGACGTCCCTAGGGATGACCTGCAGGCTCTTCAGCCCCAGCATAGACAAGACTGGGGCAGTGAAGGTTCTGAAACACAGACCACACTCCATCCCCGTCCGTGATCACAGGGTGGGAGTCACCTCAAGGTGACACCTGCTGGTGGACCTGGCCTCCACCTCAAATGTCCCTCAGCCCCGGCCCACAGTGCTCTGGTGAGGACCCACAGTCAAACAATTGGTTTATTTCCCAACTCTGGCAGTGGAGTAATTCAGAAACTACTCACCTAACACCTGTCAACTAATCCAATCAAACGTGAGTTCTACAGGAAGGGGGCAACCACAGTCCTCTCGGAAACTGGGCATAAATTACACCCACAGTGCAGTTGCTTCTACTTAAATCCTAGAAAGCGATCACTTCGCCTCCCCTCTGCAACGTGTGGTCTGAAGAAGGCGGCGCTGCAGCCCCTCCCCCAGCCCTTACCCCTCAGCATCTTCCCACTTCAAACTTAGTGTGCACAGTCTCCAAGCAGGACTCCTGCTTTACTGGTGACCAAGCTGGCCATCTGTAACTTTAAGAAAGCAGAGATTTGGGTTAAACCAGGGTCACACTAAGGATTCTGCCACTAGATGGAGAAATTACCCCCAGATCCTTACAGAATCTTACCACTGATGGGGAAAAAAGCCAGTGATTGCAAAAGCCAGAGCAGTCAGGTTCCTATGGCAACTATAGGAAACATTAATCAACTTTATCAACTCATTTTATGCCCTCCCTTATATCAGGTAGATATCCTGCATTTTTATGACATTGGCATGTTTCAATTCTGCCATGCACATTCATCTATGATTTAATATTATTGAAAGTTACTTCATCTTACCTTTTTTAGCCGTTAAGGTTGCATAGGTACCTAAAATGCATCCCTCCGGTTCTGCAACTGATTTGTTCAGAACAGACTGAAATACACCTTGGGGAGAAAGCCTTTCCCAGAAGAAGACTTACACATAATAACTTCAAGGACCGTGTGCTGCATATTACCTTTATTGTGCAGAAAAAAAAAAAAAAACTTTCTGGGATTGTCTTTAGCTACTTTGTCAACAGAAAAGTATCACACAGTTGCCTTCACAACACAAAAAGCTACATGTGCTTAAAGTAGACATCTTCCAGAGGACGGAGTAGTTTCCAGTTCAGTTACAATCCGCTGGCTATGATCTGTCTCTGTCCTCAAAGTTAACTACTCTAAAGCAACAAGGAAGGGCATTAGAAGTGTGCCTTGTGTCTCACTAAAGTAGGACAGGGGGTGGGCAAATTCCGGTATATCAGAGTCACCTACGTGTTGCAGAAGAGACAAACACGAGCTATAGGATGCTGGCAAAGGATTCTGACTGCCAGTCACAGGAAACTGGACCACAGCCTCATCTCTGTACCTGGCTTCATGTGTAGGACACATCACTACCGCAGGTGTCAAGCAAGAGGCTGTGGAACATGATCAACAGGACATGGACTGTTCCTCTTACTTGAAAATGGAGTTAGTAGCAAGCTTTTATTTCTTTCCCTTGTCCCAAGAGCCTGCCATGCTGTGCCTAGAGGAAGAACAAATCGCCACTGGTCGTTACAAGTCTTCGCACATGGAGGAGAAAAGTTCAGTTCACATGGACGGAGGCGACACAGGTGTCCACGAGGCTATGAGGAGGCTTTGGGCCGTGTCGTACTGGCTGTCAGAAATGTCTGTGACCGCAGCAGCCCCTTCATACATCGGGGAGCCAGACGACGTGGCGGCTGAGACTGTGTGCGTCAGGGGTGCGTAATGTGCAGGGGAGCCTCGAAAGAGCTGGGCTCCCAGCCCGTTGGACACCCCAGCTGTCTGGGAGCCTGGGGTGATGGTGCCGTTGCTCACAGACCACAGGCTGGGGTACTGGCTGAAATGAAGAAAACAGACATCAAGGGGCTGGGAAGAGACTCCAAAGGAGCTACATGGGGGCGAGGTGGAGGGGAGGGACTAGTGGTCAGAACAGTGTTGTCAGGAATTGCATCATCACAAGGCTTTGCAGCTGGCTTTTCCACTACTACCATGTGTCCAGAGGCTACTGTACTAAGAAACAAAATCAAATACGAAGCAAACTAAAAGGAAGGTGTGCCCAAGCGTGGTGGACATTCGTGGGCTGAGTTCTGCTAAGACAGATTCCTAGCAAGCAGCTCTGTGCTCATTAACATACAGAGTTTGCACTGAGCACCAAGGCTCAGAGCTACATGCCTACTTCGTTAACTAATGTTCCCAACCCCGCTGCAACAACTCCTGAATTCACGGGAGACACAGTCCTCAGAATGCTGGCCCCATCTCATCCAGTGGATAATGTGCTAGCAATGTCAACATGGGCCAACATGCAAGGGCCCCCGGAGCTGGGCTTGAGACTAGCTCTGCTCTCTAACTCGCCCCACGACTGTTTTTCAGGCTGTCTCCTCATCTATCAAATGAGGAAGCTGATATTAGTATTAAGCTCTCTGACTTACATCCTAGATTAAACTATAATAAAATTTTGTTTGGAAAACCTTCCTTAGAGCTCTTCCATAAACACACAACATGATCTGACATAAGACTGCCATTATTTAACATGCCATCCCGTATACCTACCTCAAAGCATTTGAACTTGAGAGCAAGCCTGGGTAAATTAAGAAGGATTACTGGTGTTTTTTACAGGTATGAGTTTCCAACTAAGACACCAAATTGGAATGAGTGGTCAGCACTCACTGCTGGCAGATCATCTAGCTTCTTTTTTTGGGGGGAGGGGGTTCAAGACAGGGTTTCTCTGTGTAGTTTTGGCACCTTTCCTGGAACTCACTCTGTAGCCCAGGCTGGCCTCGAACTCACAGAGATCCGCCTGCCTCTGCCTCCCGAGTGCTGGGATTAAAGGTGTGCGCCACCACCACCTGGCTCATCTAGCTTCCTAACAGTGTCCTCAGGGCCATGGACAAGTTTGCCATCCTGGGTGTGTGTTTGCTTTAAGAACAGATAAAGGTGGATGTAGTGATACCTGCCTACAACTCCCAACAACTCAGGAGGCTGAGGCAGGAGAATCAAGACCTTGAGCTCTAGACTGGATAGTGAGTTCAAGGCCAGCCTGGGCAGCATACTGGAACTCCATGTCCAAAAAACACTGGACAACTAGATTCTTATTAGTAAAGCTCTATATCCTAAACTAAAACAGCTAAGACCTTAGGTAAACATTTGATGTTCTAGACCAGTGGTTCTCAACCTGTGGGTCGCAACCCCTTTGGATATTGCATATCAAATATCCCATATATCAGATATTTGCTTACAATTCATAACAGTAGCAAAATTATAATTATGAAGTAGCAATGAAATTATTTTATGGGTTGGGAGTCACCACAACATGAGGAACTGTATTAAAGGGTTGAAGCATTAGGAAGGTTGAGAACCACTGTTTTAGACGATCAGGTACACCTTTGAGGTCAAAGTCACATGATGGCAGGCTCACTCCTTTATGAAGTAGCAGTTCATCTACACCATTGTCCCAGAATTAATGTCTTTGGGCACCTTTCCTCACTGGAGAATTGGTGTTGGCATCTATCTTTGCTGTTACATCAGCACTGTGGAGGATTATAACCCTGAGGGGATGTATTACCAGCTTTGCTGGGTGTTTCTGAGCCTTCCTATTATAGAACTCACTGGTCACTCAAACAGTCTCCATCCTGTGCCTGTTTCCCAGCATGCTATTAAGGACGTTTACTCCTTGATCCACAGGAAAGCCAAGCAATCTACTGCCATAACTGAATAAAGGTTCTGCAATATTACTTTAACCCACATGTGCCAACCCCATCAGCCTGAGAGAAACAGCCTGAGGCTGGGGCTTATTTAGCATCTTTTTACATATGGAGAAACTGAGGCTCAGATAAATTAGAGGACTGTTCATCACAGCACATGTTAAGAGCCGTGGTAAGGCTGAACCCTGGTTTGGGTAAGTACAGCAGACCACTAGAAAAAAATGCAGGTAATCAGAACCAGACAGTCTTGGGACCAAGTGTCCCTGGTCCCAGTTTAGTTTAATTACGAACACAAACCCAACCACCCACAGGTGGCAGAATAAGGGAAAAGGCCAATAGAAATGGAACCAGCAGAATCCTCAGGAGGGCTTGCCTCACTCCCCAGACATACCTAGAGCCAGCAGGTGGGCTGGTGCTATGACTCATGGGCAGCATGCTGGTGTGGCCAGGCACTCCCAGGCTAGACCAGTTGTCGTGGGATTGCAGCATGGATAAGCACGCAGATGAGTTGTCGGCGTAGGCTGAGGGATGTAGAGAGGAGAGTTACCTGACAGGTCTCCAAAAAGGAATAAAATGCAACAAAATGATGCTAACAGCCGAACCAGCCCAACCCTGCAGACAAAGGGTGCTGGGGTAGAGGAGAGTAACCATTTAAGTAGCCAGCAGGGCAATACTTAATGTTTCCTATTTGAACTATATGTAAATATATCCCAGTTAACCAAAGCTGTCTCATGCAGACGCTTGCATTGCTTATCTTTCTTGTTATTTTTATGGTATGTATTTATTATTTTGCGGCATCGGGGATCAGATTCAGAGCCTTTCAAATGCTAGGCAAGTAAGTGCTGAACCACTGAGCAACACCTAGAATACTTCATTTAAAAAGTAAATAAAAAACATCTGCCGCTTAGTTCACCTTTTCTATGGGGTATTCCCTAAGGACTGACCAAATTAAAAATACGATCTCTACCTCCGAGGCTAGCCTCTGGTTGAACAAGTCTCCAGAACTGTTGCCTTTCATTTTGAGTCCGCTGTAATTGCTTAATTGTTTTATGGTGTTCCTCGGCCATTTTCCCCTCCTTTTGGAGCAGACAAAGTTCTGACTGAGCAGACCACATTAGAGAACCTGCCAGAGGTCTCTGGCTGTCCTGGGGCTGAATCAGGGAAGTTGGTCATGTTGTCTAGAGGACCACCAGACCCTCCAGCTTCTGGGTCTGGGTGGACCTAACTGTGGCTGGTTCTCAGGTGACTCTGGGGACCTGGGTTCTATACCTCAAGAATCTTTGGTCTAGTCAGAAATGCTTGCACCTGGCTAATCCAACATGGTCACTTTAGAGAGGTTCGTGAAACATCTAAACTAAAGCTCAGTGAAAAGGCCCAGAGAGCAGTCATTTAAAAACCTACAGTGTGTTCTGAGGCACATGGAGACTGAAAGCCTCCGTAGGGACTTCTGGTCAACCACCATCCTGACCAAGTCTCTTCAGGAGCCACTAGGACTGGGTTCCCTATTCTGCACGGCTGTAGAGATGCCTCCCCAGAGGGGTCCTCCCACTCCCACCCCCACCCCCACCCCAGCCACTGATGAACCCCTAGAGAACCTACTTGGAGAGTTGTTCCGATGAGCATATGGACTGGGGTAAGGTGATGAGCGGTGGTTCCTCAGAGCCGGGTACCTCTCACAGCCATGTGTGGAGGGGAGAGGGAGCGAGCCTCCAAACTGAGGGTGGGAGCTGGCAGGTGGACAGAGGGTGCTGGTGCCAGGAACAAGCCACCCCCCTGCTGTGAGAAAAGCATGCTGAGTAATGGACCCTTGCTTGAGACTGTCCTAGCTCTAAGCTATGATATGAGACCTTGTGAAGTGAAGAATCCACTGTCCCACCCCTCAGTGCAACCTAACCTCAAAATATCAGAGTGGAGAGCTCCACACCATGAGCCTGGGATGCCGAGTTCTCCAGGGCCTGAGCTGAGGCCACAGCTCTGTCTTAGAGGTTTACACAAATCCCAGCCTTGGTGGGATTTCTGTTCTGCTGGCAAGTAGCTTTCTACCAGCTGAGCAGAATGAGACTTGTTCAAAGGATGCAGTATGAAGGCAAGAGGAACAAAGTGGGCCATAGGTAGGACCCAGACTGCTCCAGGATGTTCCTCCTCATCTGAGGCCTGCAGTCATGCTCCTGCCTCAGAAATAGCTAGTGGATTCATTTCCTATTTGATCCCTTCTGTTTCGACTCCCCCAGGCCTCCCCACATTCTCCCCACTACATCTCCTCTCCCAGACAGCTATATCCACTAAAACTAATGTTTTCCCATAGTTTTTATAGTTTTGTTTTAATTAAGCCAAAGGACTCCTCCATGAGACAATTTCCAAACAAGACAGTTCTTCAGACAACGCTTCAAAGATAGAGGAACACACAGGTGCCCACACCATCTTGTGTGACCCCCATACACAGTCCATCTCTTGCCCATTTCTCCCTGATCTGCTCTTAAGTGGTTACCGACAAGCCACAGTGTGGGTCCTGTTTGTTAAATTCATTTGTCAAATTTATAGAAGATGGTGTTAAAACAGCAGTTTAGAACAGCTGGTTCTAGTTTCAGGGCAGAGTGCCAGGCGAGTTTTGGCATCCACAGAAGTGGTCCTGCAAGCAGAACCCTTCTGCCCCTCAGCAGTGACTTCCTCAATATTTGCAGATCCCTTCTTGGAAAGAAGGGGGAGGCCAGGCCTTCTCTCTCCCTAGGTGTGTCTGCACAGACCTGCACCCCTCATTCTGGCTAAGAGAACTCCTAAAGGAATTCTAAAAGAACTAGCCACCTTACAAGCTCCCAAAATCAGGAGCCAAGGGGACTGAGCAGGAAGGTGTCTCATGTGTGTCTCTAAAGACAGCCATTCAGTTTTCAGCCACTAACCAGAATGGAGATCATCTCCAAGGGGGATAGGACAAGCTGAATTCTCATACCCAAGTCTAAACTCCCAGGAGTCTCTACCCCTGACCGCTGCAAAACAAAACAAACAAATCCAGAGTTCTTTGGCTGGCCAGTGTCTCAAGCCCAAGATGGTCAGGCAGCCTCCCGAGCAAAGGGTACGTGCCTGGGGCACAAAGAGGGGCCATCCTGCTACCCCACCATTCCCAGAAAGCCCTCAGCTTCCCTTTGGGCTCTGGTTTTAGTGAATCTTAGAACTGAAACAAGCCAGAGGGACATGGAGAACGCAACAAACCGTACATTGGGAAAACCCCGGCTGCTGGCAGTCCCCGGGTTCCTCCGTCACATCTTTGTGGTCGTTTCTGGGGGGAAAATTTCAGAATGGTCAAAAGGGAGAACTGCCTGGAGACAGCGTGTAGCTTTCTTTCTACATGGCCCTTTGTCCCAGGAGTGGGATTAGAATTCTCTCACCTTTCTTTTGCATCAAGGAAGGCTTTTGCAAATGGATTGTATTTAATTTTAAGGGCCGTGATCTGAAAGATAAGAAAGTGTATTTATTAATACAGTGCTGGTTACCAGAGGATTTACCGAGGAAAAAGAAGTATCATAGGCCTGTAAGCCCAAGGACCAGAATGCTGAGGCTGGAGGACTGCTGTGAATATAAGGATAGCCAGGGAGACATAGCAAGACCCTGAATCAAATAGGGAGTGGGGGGGGGGGCACTACCAAAGAAGGAAAAAAGAAATTGAGAAAGAATAGAAGCAAGTTGAAATATTCAAATTGAATCAGTCTTTATTTTGAATGAGTTATTTTAAACTTTTCCCCTCTTACCACAGAAGTGGTCGATCTGAACCTGTATTCAGCACTGTGAATACAGTCCCCAGGCCTATCTGCATGGAGAGCACACTGAGAAGACCCTCTGCCTTCCCGGAGCCTCACCTCCTCGTTCTGGTAGGCAGTCACAGCTATGAACTGGGTCTCTGGAAAGCAGTGGCTGGTGATCATGCGCTGTGGGCCCCCAACCCTCACAATGTGAATCCGAGGCTCATACTTATGCAAGGAGTTCAACATGATCTGCAGGAGATAAGGAGCAAGAGTGAAGACCAGCGCCTGCCTCAACACCACAGCGTCCACGGGAACTGCTCGGTGAGAAACGGACTGAGCTACCAATGTGTCCAGGAAATTGCCTGTAGTATGGAGGGCATGGGGTCTGTGGGTGGTGTCTCTCGGCATTTTACACATCTGCTTCCCACAGCTGGTCTGGAACTAGAATGTGAGGTGCTATGCACTATTAAACCTTGGTCAGAATAAAGCCACAGACGACTTTAAATGCCTGGCTTGATGGCAGCTTGGAGTGAGTTTTCTAGGGACAGGCTCCAGTAAAAGGCTTTTGAGAAGAGCGGAGTGCACACGCGTGTGCAAGACTTCCCGTGGTGTTCTCTTTTGACTTTAAGGTAACCGAGGATTCCAAGTCAAAGCCCACCTGTCCACAGCGCTGGAAGAGACAGGGCCTGAGTGGTTTCCCAAGAGGCAGCCCTGACTGCACCGAGCCTTCCAGGGTGAGTGAGGCCTCCCAGCCCCCTTCTTCAGGCCTCGGTGTGACCCTTATCGGCTTAATATAAACAGTACTAAAGATTTAATTGGGGGAGCCTGTGGTGGCTCCTGTGAAGCTGACAGAAGCTGAGGGAGCCCTTCTAGGCTCCCAGCCGGGGGAGGTGCAGCCCTCCGCCCCCTGGGCTGGGGCTCAGCGGCGGGTCTCTGGCACACCCTACCTGCCCTCCTCCATTGAGCTTGTTGGTGAGTTTGACTTTGCTGAAAGACACCGGCGCCTTCATCCAGTGGGCCCCGAAGTTGGGCGAGTCTGGGTGGATGTAGACGCAGCTGGGCGCCTGAGGCTCTGGCTTGCCCCCAGGTACCCACTCCCCATTCACATACTTCCAGCGGTGATTGTCAGCTGCCACGAAGTCCAGCAAGAAGGAGTACATGGCATTGGGGTCCAGACCCGACACGTTCACCTTCAGCACCGGGAACATCCTCCTGGAAAAGACGGGTCACACAGCAGGAGGACCCCGAAACTGACCCATCCGGTCGGAGAGAGGAAAGCCTGGCACAAAGTGTTCATTACCAGTCAAAGAAGGGCCCCTGCAACAGGTCTCACAGCTTCTTTTCCAGAGCTTTCTCAGTTCTGGTACCAAATCCATCTCCCCACTAAGCCCACAGTCTCTTGAGACAGCAGAGGGACAAACCTGGCCAAGACTTTTGGAGACACAGGCAAGCCTGGCCACACTAGTGGAACCCTAGAGTTCAAATACCTCCTCCCCAGGTTTCGTCAGTGAAAGTCCTGGAGAAACTAAAGTTACTCCCTGCGGCAGCAAAGCGGGAAGAGGCAAGCCTTAAGCAGAGAAAAGCTGCTCCACCCCCCCCCCCCCCCCGAGAGGCACTCTCCGCGCCCCAGCCTGCAGACTCGCAGCACGCACCTACCTGCCGTTCTTGGTCACAATCATCTCGTTCGTTAGCTCCTTGAAGCGCAGCCACAGCTCGCTCTCCTCCAAGCCCACTCGCAGCTCGCGCTCCGTGGGGTCGCCCTTCTCGCTGCCCGCCTGCAGCTCGCTCTCCACGGCGCTGAGCAGGTGGTCCACTCGGTACTGCAGGCTCTTCCCTGCGCTCTCTGTGCCCGGGGAGCTCATCCTCCGGCCGCCCTCTCCACCGCCCCCAGAGTCTTGACTGCCCTACCCAAGAGCCACCTTCACGTCTCCCGCCACCGCTTTTCCAAGAAAGAGGGTCGCTCGCGGAGCCCAGAGACCACACCTGGGTCCCAGCACGTTCGCCAAAGGAGGGCCAGGACTGGGATGTGGGGGGAAAGGGGCGGGGAGAGGGAAGAGGGCCTGGGGAGCCGTGGTTCCACTTGAACTCCCGCAAGTCGCGACAAGAGTAAGTCTCTGGGGGAGAGAAAATGGGTCCCCTCCCCATAAATACAGCCGAAGTGGCCTCGCAGGGGGCGCGGCGGATTGGGCGGGACACCCTTTGAAGTACCTAGCCGCTGCCCATTGGCGGTGCGCGGCCATATCAGACCCGCCGGGCGGGCCTGGAGGCCGGGGGCCAACAATGGGCTCCCGCGCGCGCTTCCTGTAAGGAAAGCGTCGGGCGCAGTCCCGACACCCCCGCCCTCCCCAAATGTTTGCACCTCCATCAAAGCGGCGGGGCGGACCCTGGGGGGGAGGGTAAGGAGCAGGGCCGAAGCCACCCAAGCCCGCCGCTCCCAGAGCAACTGCTAAGCTCTCCACTCCCACGCTCACACCGCGCTCTCCAAGCGCGCTCCAGCGCCTGCGGCTGTGCCCCACGGAGTGTCCAAGCTGCGCGGGACTACGGCGGATCTGCGTCTCTCGGGTCTCCCTGACCTCTCCGAAGCCTCAGCTCCCAGAGGTGCAGCAGCTTCGGGACATGTCCCCTCGCCCCATGGACTGCCACTAACTCCCACCTCAGCGTCCGGGTTCCCCAAGACCTTCTTCACCTGCGTGGAGAGGGAAGCCCAGTGCGGATCTGTCCAGATAGCGACCCTAGTAGGAGATATCCTCGCGTCCCACATAAAAGCTGGACTTTGGTGACGGTGGCTGCTCCTGCACCGAGTGTGGCCCCGGGATTCCCTAGTCTCTTTGCCCCGGGGATTGTTGGAACGCACGCTGGGCGCGTTTCCCTACCCGCCTCCGCGCCAAGCGGTGTGGACAGCAGTTGGTTTATTACCTCTCGGTGAGAACCTCTGCCGGAGAGTGAGGGGAAGGTGACAAAGAGCAGGAAATAGTTCAATGGGGTCTCTTTAAACAATAACATTCCTCTAAAACGGGAGCCCAGGAAGCGGGAAGGAAGCCAGAGATCGCTCCCAGCTCTTTAACGAGGGCCTGGGTCCTAGCCTCCGATTCCCCGTCTTCCACACGCGCACCCCACCCGGAAGCTCCTTGGAAGAGGCCCCTGCATCAGGTGGGGCACCCACTTCTGAAAGTTCTGTGCCTCTCTTGAGTGTCCTTGGGAAGTCTTGGGGGTCGGGGTTGCGGAGTAAGCCAGACCCCGGCTCCGGGTTCTACTTGCCTCCTACTTCTGGGGAGAGGGTTTTCCGGGAGCCAGCCGCCGAGGAAGATGCTCCGGGAGTGTGATGGGAATACGTCCTGGGCTACTTTCCTCGGCCCTTTTCTAACTGACTACGGGAGCTGCGAGAAGCTATCCCGCTTATTTGCTCTTTTGTAGTCTAGGATGTAAAGAAATTAATTTCGGGCTGACCCGAGGGAGACGTTCCTTCTGCGGAGACGCCAAAAGGCCCTCATTTGCACTCAACCCCGACCCTCCCGTAACGCCCACCAGCCAGCTTGTGTTATGGGTTTGCAGGAGTCCGGGTACTCGGAATAAAGGGTCTGGGTGGAGGGGACTTGAAGACAGAGGGAGGGTGGGTCCGAAAGTGACCGAAGATCTCTAACCTCGGGCGTGAAGGCGAAACCGGCCCTGGGAGTGCGGTTGCTCACGGGTGAAGCTCGTGGAAGATCGCTCTGGATCCATTCTCCAAGTGGGAGGAGGCAAATAAATGTTACTTTTTCTACCGTGAGCAGTGAAATCTACACTCTGGGCTAGAAGCAACTCTTTCAATGCTTAGCTATTTTGCCCCTACCCTCTTCTGTGGTTGATTTCTGATCTTTGTCCCCAGAACCTCGTCCACAGACTTTTCAAGGAAGGCTGCAGCGCATGACAGTTTACAGCCAAAAACTTCCTCCAGGTCAGCTATAAAGAATTCCTAGTTAATAACCTGCGCTTCCTTGGGAGAGGCGTGGCTTAGAACTACCCTGGGCTCTTCTGCTTCTCTCTCTGCCAGTCCTTGGGAAGCCTCAACCTTCCCAGGATAGGCAGAGAAGCGTCATGCCTGGGCCTCTGCACTGGCAACCTTCCCACGAAGAGCAAACAAAAGAAAAGGCCCGGGAACCATAAATGTATGCCCACGGCAATTCCCAGAGGGGCATTTCCCCTCATCTCACCCCTTCTCAGACAACAAAGCCCCCAAGAGTAGAGACATCCTGGATCCTGACCTCACCTCCAGAGTCTTCTTTCTTGAAAGAAAAGGGGGGGGGAGGTGGGGAGCATTTCTTTTGTGACGCTGGGAATAATGGACATCCATGTTGCAGAACACAGACACATGGGCCCTAATCACTGTTCAGATTCAGTGTGCCAAGCTAGTCCTTCTCCACTTCCTGTTCCCCCAAGCAGACCAAGCAGACACCGCATCCCCAAATCCTAGGTTAGTGCACAGAGACCCCTTCAACGAAACGCTTCTGTCACCACGTGGTGAAGGAGAACGGTGACTTGGAGAGGTGCTTTTTAAAACAGCACAGTTATTCCGTCTGCATCACATTGAGCTTTTTGCTTTTTTTTTTTTTTTTTTTTTAGGACCTCGGACTGTTTGTAGAGGCTGTGGTTTTGTAGAAAAGAATAAAGACAAGCTTTCAGAATGGGTCAGCAGGACTCACCTGTCACTGGTCACTGTGACTGTGGGAAGAGGGTCACCCCACTGTAGAAGTCCTGAAGGGCAGGCAGATGGGAGGGGTAGAGCCAGGTGAGGGCCAGCTGAAGAAGGTGTCTTCAAGTCCAATCCTATCCTAGCTGTCCTCATAAGCCAGTGTCCTGGTAGCTTAGGGACGGACAGGAGCAGACACACTGAAAACAAATAAACCAGCCAACATTTCTCCCTAACCTCTCTGGTCTTTGAAGCCAATGCTGAGGAGGGGACTCTGTGGCCACTGGCTTGGTAGAGGTAGCTTGAACTTCTTCAGCCTCCTTACCTAAGCTTTCCATGCTTCTTCAGGAGTAATCAGGGGTAGCGCTTGTACCTCATTCTTGTGAGGGTCTTGGTGCAAGCCCCAGAGGTCATCTGTGCCTGGGAATGACTGCCCCTGCCTCTTCTCCCCGTCTCCTGCTTCTCCCCTGAACTGTTTCATCTCAGGTCCTTCTGCATGTATTGAATGGTGTGTGAAGTATTTGCGCCACACCACCCTGTCAATTTGTCTCTCTGTCACTCTTGGGGTTTTACTGCCTCCCATGCAGATTTTATTTCTTTGCTCTCCCTTTGAGTTTCTGGCGGACCCGGTTCCCTATGAATCTCGGTCATGCTATTTATTCCACCGTCTTCTATGGCAGCCTTTTGCTCCTTCAGGCTGTTTGTGACTCCCAGAGGCCACCGGGCCTTATACTCAGGCCTGACAGCTGTTTTTAGGTGACCACTGTGGTTATTTCCTTTTAGTCTTGGGCTGTTCTCCTGCCTTCTACATTAGCCCTTTGAGGAAGATTCCATGGTTCTCCTTCCTTCCTCCAATTGACCCTGGGCTAAATCTGAGATAAACCGATCTTTGCAATGGCTCTTTGGCCCCATTCAGATATGGTAGGTACCTCATTTCTAATCCTCTTGAGCTCAGGGATGGCCATGGAAGGCAGATGTCCCCGTGTCCAAAGATGTCACTGTGTCCAGGAGGAACAGCAGTCACCGCACTGAAACCTACCCACCAGTGGCGTTTTAGCTACAGTCGACACAGACCTGGAAGTCCTGCATACATCCTAAAGACATCTGCCATCAAATTCGGGGCAGCCTTCCTATATTCCTTGTTCCCAGTTTCCCAGAGGAGAACAGCAAACTGAGACAGAGCCTCATTGAATGACAGTGAAGACGCCACAGCTATGGGGAAAGAACGTACAGGGAGGTCGGATGGTCAGAGCTGCAGGTATCAAGGCGAGAAACTTCCGGAGCTGACAGAGAACGGAAAATAGAGGGCTAAGTCCAAAGGAGGACTCTGAGAGGGAGCGTGCCTGCCAGACTTCTTACATGGGGGAGGTTTGGTGGTCTCCAGAGGCCTCGTAAGAGGAATGTGAAGTCCCACAAAAATCCTAGAAGAGAAGAGCACTAATTTAGAGACATTTTATAGGAATTTCCAGAGGTGCTCGAGGCAAAAACAGTAACCGGAGAAGAGCAGGAGAATGATGGAATTGTGAGAATATCCCAGGAGGGTGACCAGCAGGGAGTGTTGGGGGCAGAAACCTGCCCCAGGAGGAGCGGGTGTGAAGGAGGAGGCTGCGCCCACCTGCTGACAGCTAGCCCACAGGAAGGACCGGGAAGGTGGAAAGGTAGCGAATGCCCCGGGTGGGGGCTGGGGGCTTGGCTGCAGGAAGGAGGGGAGTTAAAATAAATCTCCCCACATATCAAGGGCAAGACTGATAAAAATGGGGACCGGGACTCTTAACACACTTCTGAGAACAGATTCCGGATCGGATCGGTGGCTCCCACCACCAGACTCCAGCAAGCTGAAGAGCCGGGAGAGGAAAGCCCGGTTGGAAGTCGGAATTAGCACATTGGATGACCCACACTCAGGCTTCCAGACCCCAGTCCTACCTCAGGCTGCCAAGAAAGCCTATTGTATGCAGGGGAATATGTACATGGGTCAGGCAGACAAACAACTCTGTAAGGTGGCCACGGTTGTTTTCTACAGATAAGGCAGCTAAAGCTTACAGATAAGAGTGGAAAGTGAGAGGTTTTGCTTTCTGACTTGTCTTGGTTTAAAAATACATTGTTTCCACTAAAATACGTCTACAGAAAATAGATACAAGGTTTTGTTTTGTTTTGTTTCTCTTGCCCCACACACCACTACATTCACTCAACTAGTTACAAAAGGAATTTGACCCGGAGAAGGCAAAGCTGATGGACTTGACTTTTTTGCTTGTTTGTTTGTTTGTTTGGGCAAGGTCCCACTATGTAACACCAGGCTAGCCCGAAACTCACTATGTAGACCAGGCTGGGCTTGAACTGCCACTGCCTCCTGGGTGCTGCAACTAAAGACATTTCCTATCATGCCCAGTGACTCCTTAAATTTAAAAAAAAAAAAAAAAAAAAAAACATGGTCTGTACTGTCCCCAAGGAAACAATTCCCAGAACATCAACCTCAATGCTGTTGGCTTCTTCTTAATCACAACTGGTCCTTCAGCCCAGCTGACCTGAACCACAGAATCTTCATTCAAAATATCTCGCCGGGTGGAGGTGGTGCACACCTTTAATCCCAGCACTTGGAAGGCAGAGCCAGGCAGATCTCTGTGAGTTCGAGGCCAGCCTAATCTACCAAATGAGTACCAGGAAAGGCCCAAAGCTACACAGAGAAACCCTGTCTGAAAGAAAGAAGGAAAGAGAGAAAGAGAGAGGGAGGGAGAGAGAGGGAGGGAGAGAAAGAGAGAGAAAGGAAGAAAGAAAGGAAGAAAGAAAGAAAGAAAGAAAGAAAGAAAGAAAGAAAGAAAGAAAGAAAGAAAGAAAAATATCTCATAAGTAGCCTGAATAGAGTCTGCTTTGCTTCCCTCCGAAACTTCACAAGCCAGCCCTCCATCCTCTGCATTACCCTACACACTCTTATCATCTAAGATCCCACAGCCCACTGAGCTCTGAGCACTCAATGGCTTTTCTAGCCCGAAGTTCAAATGCCACCATAATCCTCCCCAAAACAGGTAACCACGGCAGTCGCATGCTCTTTGCACCAGTTTCTACCTTCGTTAGGGTTCCTATTGCTGTGATAAATCACCCGGGCAAAAAACAAATTGGGAAGATGGTTTATTTCACTTACAGCTTGTACTCCCATCATCCCGAAGGCCAGTTCGGGAACTCAGAGCAGGAACTGAAGCAGGGACCTAGGAGGAGTGTTCTTTAATGGCTTCCTCCTGCATGGCTTTCTCAGCCAGGACCACCAGCCCAGGATGGCACCACGCTCCAACATCAATTTTTTTTTTATTTTTATTTTTTTATTTATTATGCATACAGTGTTCTGCCTGCATCCCTGCATGCTGGAAGAGAGCACCAGATTTCATTACAGATGGTTGTGAGCCATCATGTGGCTGCTGGGAATTGAACTCAGGACCTCTGGAAGAACAGTCAGCGCTCTTAACCTCTGAGCCACCTCTCCAGCCCCATCCCACATCAATCATTAATCAAGAAAGTGCACTATAGGTTTGCCCACAGACCAATCTTTTCTCAGTTGAGGTTCCCCCCTCTTAGATGACCCTAACTTATGTCAAGTTGACAAAAAACTAACAGCACATAGTCCAGACGAGATCATCAGCAGGAAAATCTGTCTTCTCTCCTAATGATTATTTTTTAATTGTGTGTGTGTGTCTGTGTGTGTCTGTGTGTGTGTGTGTGTGTGCGCGCGCGCGCGCGCGCACATGCAGGTGCCTACAGAAGCCAGAGGCCTCAGATTTCCCTAGAGCCAGCGTTATAGGCAGTTTTGGGCTATCTGATATGAATACGGATATTGGGAACTGAACGCAGGTGCTCTAGAAAAGCTGTGTGTGCAAGAATACATGTTCAGAGGACAACTTGTAAGAGCTGGTTCACTCTTTCTAACATGTGGACCCCTGGGATCAAATCCAAGCCATCAAACTTGGCATCAAGAGTCTGTATCCACTAAGCTAGCTTGGCCTCCACAAACACACAAAAGAAGTAGGTATGATGGCCTAAGACTTCATTTTTGAAGAAAAGAAAATATATTATTTTTATATGCATGAGTGTTTTCCCTGAACATCTGTCTGCGTACCACTTATATGCCTAGTGTCTGTGGAGGTCAGAAAAGGTCCAGATCCCCTGGAACTGGAAATACAGACAGCTGTGAGCTGCCATGAAGGTTGGGCATCCAGCACAGGTCCTCTGGAAGAGCAGCCATGGGACAATCTCTCCAGGACCCCAAGATTTTTTTTAATTGCTTTTTTTTTTTTTTTTTTTTTTT